TCTCCCCTGGTATATAATTATTTATTTGATATTTTTACCTATATTCCCAACTCTATGGAATTATAAGAGAGATGTGAGTATGCATTTTAATCATATTTCTAACACATTAAAATTCACACATGATCAAGGTCATAGCCAAAGCACTTGTGCATTTGGAAAAGTAACGAATAGTTTATCAAACATGTGAAGTATATCCAGTGAGTTACAAAGAAATAGGGTTATTAGGTGCTGCACTCAAAGTCACCTAACAAGGAAGAATGACAAACCTCTCACGATCCGAGACGTTAGGTTATATTAGGTGACATGCTTTGTAGAACATAGATCATGGAATATGTGCTTTCGATTTGACTTTATCATCTTAATTGATGGAGTTAGAAGAACATTTGTATAATTGTTTCACTCATCATTCTAATCCAAAAAAAAAAAAATCATCATGAACAAAAATTGAGAAGTAATACAGTGATGAGATGCAGACAAAAGACAAAACGTGCCACCTTATCTCAAAATGCAAATGTTATGTGGCACCGGCCAAAATGATAAATCTGGAAGAGCATTGTTAAATATAAGATGTGGAGACCTGAGTTCAAAATGCTGATTTGCTATTCTTTATTGTTCCATTCTATATGTTTTTCTGTTTTAGTTTGCATGAATTTTTGTTGTTTTGGATTTTATATCTCTAAAGTATCTGTTACATTATTTTTCTTTTTTCTTCTCCTTATTTGGTATTGTATATTTGTCATAGTATTCATTACATGACACTTGAATTTACAGGCATGCTGGTCTGGGGCTGGTCCCTCAGACAAACTCTAGTTTGATCAGCCCAATCCAACCTAACCCTACCAAACTCAACCCAGCCCAACTCATCACACTTGAGTCTGAATCATTGTCAATGCTGAACATGTGGTCATCACATGGTAAGGACCATAGGGTGACCTTATTATCATTTTCCCAATGTTGATTGTGTCTCTATTCTTGGTTAGGACCCATGTTACATGACTTGAGTAAGGATCTCAGATGCGGCTACATATCCAAGTGTCAGATTCATCTAACTCTCATGTCAAAGCTATCTCTCGTGTCAAAGTTATGTTACCAAAAACGTTAATAGCCTAATGAATTATGTATTGATATGCACGATTCAAAATATGGTACACTTCCGTTCCAAAACAATAAATTTGGCGATCGGAAATGATTTCAAAAGTTTTTCCAATAAATTTCCTTAAATGTTTCTTAAGGAAGAAAAGATCAAATATAATGAATTAAAATCTAAAATAAGTTAAGTTTTGATGAGACAAAACATAAAAAATGGGTCATAATACTCATAGAAATGTTTTGCTACATGAAGAAGCAAAATTAAATTTTATTAAATGTCTAATAGTTAAAAGAAAATTACTCTAAACGTACTTTAAATTTGCAAATATTATACATATATACATATATCAGTTTACTCCTATCGTATCACATTTTAGAGCATGTGACATATCACGTTCTTATTCCCGTTCTCTGTACTAACGATCCACGTTTCAGGTAACATAGTGTCAAAGACACCATGATACAACTAAAATTTAAATTTCTTAACTATTGGTATGTTTTAGGTTAAAATGACAATAATTTAGAAGAGTCTATTAAATATTGCTTAGGACCACCATGAGTCTCTGAATTTGCCATTCATGGTTCTCAACTTTGTCATGCAAGCTTAAGTGAGTATAAACATTTTGCTGCTGCTGCTGCTGCTACATCTACATATATCGGCATAATTAGTTTCAAACAAAGGGGCACATGTAAATGTCAGTATATTGTTCTGCCTCTGGACTCACATTGGGAACTTACTAGCTGACCTAGACAACAGTATGGTCGCTTTGCAGTTTCTGATGTTTGTTTGTGGTCCTATATTTATTTCTAGTAATCATTTTTGGCATAAACATTGCACACACAGATCATGGTATAGGTTTCAGTTTCTTCTCTTTTCTGGAACAAAGTGGTTACCTTGGGATACCGACATTGAAAACTGCAGAAAATTATTCAGTGTTTTTAGAACAAAATTTGGGTGATATTTCAAATTAATAACTATTGGTCAAAATTATAGAACTCATCATTTTTGTTTGGAGTACTTTCGCATTTTACATTCAGATGGTAATTATTAATTTATAAAATTCATCACTTTTGTGTTGAAATTTTAGAAGAATAATTTTTCCAAATCCAGACTCGAAATCCTTTTCTGGCCTGTTTGATAACCGAGTTAGAGAGGCCAGATTGGGACGAGAGGACTTGTGATCCCTCATCCCTTCATATAGAGATTAGGTATTAGGTATCCTCTTTATTTTAGGAGAAAAAATGTTAGGGATATCAATAAAATTATCAAGGAATTTATTAAATCATTCACATGGGTGTGTAACTGGCACTCATGTAGGACTCGTACTCATGTGAGTATTTGATAAATTTTTTGATAAAATTTTTTATGTCTCCAATATTGTTGTTTTAGCAGTCATGAACAATGATCCTTTCATCAAATTTCTTTTTCATTTTTTTTTTTTCATTCTAATTAAACATTGTATAATGTTCTATTATAGGTATTACTTATCTGGGAAAAATTCCTAAAAATCAAAAGAGTAGGTTGGTTGAAAAATGGAATTCAAACATTTTCCTACGATTGATTTAACCTTTGAAATACTTTATTAGTTGACCTCGTATTATTTTGATAAAATCTATGGAATTGGAAAAAAAAATATTCAAAAAATAATTAAAAAAATAAAATACATAGAATATAATTAAATTTAGTGTATAAATTTTATTTTCTGCCCTAATATTTTATTATATACAATATAAGGACACTATCACCCCTTGCTCAAACGTATATTTTTGAATATAAATAACTTCAAACACCTTTCATTTCTTGACTCAAATTCATATTAAGGCCAAGGTTGGGATGTTCCAAAAAAGCCAAAAAGCCAAAAAGTTACTCAAAAAGTTAAAAAGTTAACACTATTCACCAAACGTCAACAATTACGGCTGCACAACTCCCCATTCAAATTTTCCTCTACAAACCAATTTTTACGATTTTTTATTACACATTTTTCTTATTACACATTTTTCAATAAAAAGTCAAAAAGTTAACCCAAACATCCATATTTTCAACCTCAATTTTTTAGTCCAAAAAGGCAAAAAGTACACTTATTTAGTCTTCCCAAACTTGGCCTAAATTGAGTTTTATTTTTTATTTCTTTCCTCCCAATCAAGAGAGACTTTATTTCCAAACCCAAATCATCAATATTTAAAAATGAGGACATGACAAGTCATTTCTTTCTCTTTTTGCCCTCCTATATTACAAAATCAAATTGAATTTGTCGTTGAAAAGCTTCATATCAAACTTTTCTTCAGATTTGAGTTTTGCATTCGAGAGTTTCATCAAAAATAAGGAGGCTAAACTCTTTTTTTCCCCTTCTCTTTCTGGGCTCCCTATTTTCAACTACTTTTTATGTAAAAACATTATCTAGGTATGAACTTGCATATTTATTTTGAATATAAATAACTTCAAACACCTTTTCATTTCTTGACTCAAATTCATATTAAATTGAGTTTTATTTTTTATTTCTTTCCTCCCAATCAATAGAGACTTTATTTCCAAACCCAAATCACCAATATTTAAAAATGAGGACATGACAAGTCATTTATTTCTCTTTTTGCCCTCCTATATTACAAAATCAAATTGAATTTGTCGTTGAAAAGCTTCATATCAAACTTTTCTTCAGATTTGAGTTTTGCATTCGAGAGTTTCATCAAAAATAAGGAGGCTAAACTCTTTTTTTCCCCTTCTCTTTCTGGGCTCCCTATTTTCAACTACTTTTTATGTAAAAACATTATCTAGGTATGAACTTGCATATTTATGATCTCCATTTTCATTTTATTTTATTTTTTTGAACTCTATTTTCACGTAGTTTAAACAAATTTTCTTTGATTAGCCATAAGTTGTACTTTAGTTCTTCCCTTTCTGAAAAAACAAATGATTTCTGTTAAGATTTATGATTATGTTGTATTCAATGATTATATCAAAGGATAAGAAAGCCCCTTGACCAATTGGAATTCCAATGGTGATTTGAGAACCTTCTATTGGGAAACAGTATGCACAACCAAGATATAACTAATTTGGTATAATTCGAATGGAGCTCTAAAGATTGAAAAAATTATTCGATAGTTTGAAATTATTATGGCAGGTTTAATCATGTCTTATCACAGTCAATCACATCAGAAAAAGTAAAATCTAAAGTTTACATTTATGCCTTCTCTATGAAATAAGTTCCAACAAAGTGTATCTCAAATTTCATTTTTTTAAATATGGCTAATTTAAAATTTAGTATATTTTAAATTGAGCTTTCAATATTGAAAAAAGTACACAGTGGTTTGAAATTATCTTGTCAAGTTTAATCGTGTCCTATCACAATCAACCACATTAGAAAAAGTAGAATTTAAAATTTTACCTTTTCGCCTTCTCTGTGAAATAAGTTTAAACAAAGGAAAATCTTGAATTTCACTTTTTTAATATGACTAATCATGATTAGATAGGAATCAAAACTCATGAGATGTTCGACGAATATTGAATAATAACCCTTAAAGATTGGGCTCAGGTGAGTGAGTTTTTCTACAATGAACTCCATGTTTAGCTCTAATCTTGTTGGAATTAGGTACAAGTAAGTGGGATTAAAAAAATTGTGGAAAAGTAATTTCCATAGCTTTTATGTAGCCTGTTTTTTCTTTTTCTTTTTTTTTAAGGACCCAAATGGGCTTGAATTGAAACATGGTCCCCCAAAAATGATGCCCCAAATTCAAGGGAATTCCTACCCTACTCCAAGTTGTCAAAGTTGGTGGGACCTGCATTTCCAAACCTTTATCCTTCCTTATTAGGGCTTTAGTAGTAGTCATTCATACAGTTTTTTTTTTTTTTGTGTGTGGTAAAAGTCATAGTTGCTACTGTCATTTATGGGAGATTTCAACTGTGGTGTTATGCA